TGCTCTGACGGCTGAGAGCTGACAACCCTGGACGGACAAGAGTGGCGGAGGGCTCAGGCACTCACCCCCTGCAGGCTCCTGGATTTCTGCAGGAGGAGTCGGGCAGGAGTGGGTCTGAGGATGGTGACAGCATCAGACCACCACCTGGCATCCCTTGCTGGCCCTCTCTTCCTCCGCAGGACTCTGTGGTGTGACCTAAAAGAGGGGAGTTTTCACTGCCGGGAGGGGTGCCCTAGGATACCAGGAAGCATAGATGGTGGCACTGTTACCCGGGCACCTAAGGTCTCGTTGAGGAGGTAGACAGAGACGAGATGGTAGGTCAGCTTAGGGAGGTTCCGTGGTCAGCATGGTGGGCTGCCTGGAGGCAGTGGCTGTGGAGTTGGGAACAGGGTTGAGGGATCCGTGGGAGTCAGGGCTGAGGAGCGTGTTTGAGAGGAAAGTCACGGACACAGCTGTGGCCAGAGGGCGAGTCCTGGGAGGAAAGAGGGGGAAGCAGGCCAGGACCCCGCTGCCTTGGAGCTTCCCTCGCCCCTCACGGCGGGCCGCACCCCATGTCATTCTAGGGACAGAGACTATAACGACATCGATGACGACGACCCCTTCAACCCCCAGGCCCGGCGCATCGCCGCCTACATCCCCTCGCGGGGGCGGCTGCCCAGCTTCTGCAGCTACAGCGGCAGCCTGGACAGCCAGCCCGGCCTGCAGCCGCCGGCCCAGACCGTCTCCAACGCCCCGGTCTCAGAGTACATGTACGGCAGGGCTCCTGGACCCCTGGGCCACCTCACCCACAGAGAGCTGGGTCTGCAGGTCCAGAGGGCCAGGTGGTCCCCTCCTTGCAGCCATGGGGTGTGGCAGGAAGGCCCCCAGGAGCAGTTAGTCACATGACCCCTGCATAGCCACGTGTGCGGAGGGAAGAACCCACTGGAGATGCCAGGCCTCCCCGAGTCGGCCCGGGTGGGTCTCGAGGCCAAGAATCTGCATTTCTCCAGGCCCTGCTGCCCCTGGGCCACCCCGAGCGCTCTTATCTTCCTGCCCACACTCCCTCGCTCTCCGTAGTCCATTTCCACCCCCTCCCTCCCGTAGGCACGCCATGGGAGCCTCCTGTAGCAATCAGCCCCTTCCCCGTGCCCTCCCTCTGAGCTCTCCTCTTGGCCCCACAGGAACCACGCTGTGCTGTTCGGTGGGAACCCCCGCTACGAGAACACACCGCTCATCGGGAGAGGCTCCCCTCCGCCCACGGTAACCGGGCTCCCCAGCAGGGGGTGCGGAGGGCTCTGGGCCAGGTGTCTGCCGGGTTAGGGCTGCACCTGTCCCATCCAGGGAGCTTGGGTGGGACCGTCCAGTAGATAAACTAGGAGCCCTGGCGACCCAGGACCTGGGATCCGTGGCGTAGGCCTGGCCCTGAGACCAGGATGCTCACAGGTGCCCAGCCCGGTCCTCAGGAATGTGTCCCCTGCAGGGGGCACGGGGCACTGCTGCAGTAAGTGCCCTGGATACTTAGGGACCTGCAGGGAGGAACTGTGCCCGCTGCTGTGCGGGCCTGGGGAGGTCCTGTGGAGAGTGGATGGCATGAGCCATACCTCAGAATCGCGGGTCTCACCCTGGGCGACTGGGCCCCCAGCGGGCCCTTGGCCACGTCTGTTGGCATTTTTGGTTGTCACATCTGGGGGTAGTTGCCACTGGCATCTAGTGGGTAGGGGCCAGGGATGCCGCTCAGCACTCGGCACGGCCCCCACCTCAAAGGAAGACCAGCCCAGTGTCCCTGGTGCTGTGGTTGAATCTGCTCTGACCCACCATCTGACTCCCGGCTGGGACCCCTCCTTGCTGGGTGTCGCCCAGAGCGCCTCCCCCGCTGTCCTTTGATAAACAGCACTGGATCCAGGTGCTGTGCCAGGAGACGGGGTGGGAGGAGGCCTGCGTTCAGGCTCAGCTCCTTTTACTTTATGTTTTAAGTATATTTTTATAGATTTCAGAGAGGAAGGGAGTGAGGAGAGAAAGAAACATCCATGATGAGAGAGAATCACTGATCTGCTGATTCCTGCACGACCCCACATTGGGGATGGAGCGAATTGGTGCCTTTGAACCCCGCCCGGCTTCTCTCTAACCCAAGGCCCCGTGGGTTCCTTGTCCTCGCCGCCAGCTGCGGTGGCCCCGGGACTGTGGACTGACTCTGGTATCAGTCTGAGCACAGACAGTTAGGGGAGGTCTGCTGCGGGGAGAAACGAACTACCCGAGGCCCCGTGATGCCAGATCAAAAGGGCTTGGGGATTGCTTTCTGCTTTGAAAGACTCCGGCCACGCTCCCTGCCATTGGACAGACAAGGCCCGGCCTTATTTGCGGGGCTCGGGGACAGAATCAGCCGTCCGCCTAGAACAGACCTGCTCAGAGACCCTCATTGCTTTGGCACGGCGACTGCCCTGCCCCGGGGAGACACCCCCGCCCCTGCCTACCATTGCCAGGGGCATGAGGAGACCCAGGAGCCCACAGCAGGGAGCTGTGGGCAGGCTCCCCGAATAACAACCACACAGCTGGCTGGCCCGGCTCTCCCTCCCTCAGAAATTCCCGGCGCCTTCGCGAGGACAGTGCCCGGTTTAGCTGGTGACATGTCTGACCCTGTGCTGCTGTCCCCTCCTCCCACTCCCCCCCCACACCCCATCCCCCACAGTACTCTCCCAGCATGCGGGCCACCTACCTGTCGGTTGGGGACGAGCGCCTGCGGCACTACAGGAATGAGTTTCCGGCCTAACTACCAGAGGCGCCCGCCTCCTCCATCCGGCTGGGTTTTGATTCATTCGCGTGAAAGCTGCGTGTCTTCAATGGAAGCCAAAGGCCTCTGGGAGCCGCCTGCTGGATGGCAGGACTGGACGGCGCCTGGGCCTGGCTGGGACCCTGACCGGAGCCACAGGCAGACGGAGGGCCCACCACCTGGACCAGCCTCTCCCTCCTCTGGCCTCCTCTCCACACCAGAAATGTCGCTCGGCTGCCCCTACACTGGGAGCCTGGATCCGCTCACTCCTACATCCTGCCCTCGCCAGGTGGCGACTGGCAGCGAGGAGGGGCTGGCTCAGGCCTGAGGGTCCCATTGCCAGCGCCGTGCCTCCTGCGAGCGATTTCCTGCAGGTAAAGGTGGAAGAGCTGACCAGGAGATGCCTTTAGGAAGGCGACGTCCCCAGTGAGACCAGAGACTGTCCGAGTCAGCCTCCCGGGGCCTGGGAGGAGTGTGGGTGACAGCCTGCTCCGTCCCCCGGCCTTTCCGCAATCCTCGGTCGCCTCACCTCCATTCCAGCTCGATGCTGGGAGTGCGTTCACTGCCGACAGGAACAGTCTCAGGAATTCGCGGACACTCTGAAAGAGACTAACTCTTCTTTTTCCCAGTGTTTTAAATACTTGGATTATCCAAAGAATGGAGCCTCAGAGCACAGTTTTTACAGTAGATGCGGCTGCTCGCTCCTTACACCTGGTCTGGATCCCGTTCCTTTTCAGGTCTTCCTGACACTGCCAGGTCATTAAGAACCTACGGGCAGGGCGGGATTTTTAACCAAAATAAAGATCAGGGAGACCTCCTGTCCTAAGCTGCTGTTTGATGGCAATATGGGTTCATCCCACTCGGGGGAGGAAGGGCAAACAGCGTGAACGGGGTCGCCCAGGGGAATGGCCGGCCAGCCCAGCTTCCCCTCCCTTCTGTCTTCAGGCAAGTTTGTCAGTAAAGGTTTTAGCAAAGCTGGACAACTGTGTCGTCCTCCCTGCCGCCCCCCCACCCTGTCCCCACCCCGTTGTCCTAGGCCCCACACTCCCTGCTGGGTCAGAAGGCACTATTCACCGGGAGGAAATGGCCCACGGTTCTGCCCATGGAGGAGCCAGGGTTAGGGTCTTGGGTGTCGCCAATGTCCTGCCAGCTCGGAATGCCCAGCGCTGAAGCCCCCACAGCCTCACGTGCCAAAGCAGGGACCGGGGTGGCACGGTTTGGGACAAGGCTCTAGTTGCGTTTCACAAGAGCCACCTTCTCATCAAACACGACTGCAGAGTGGTTCTCACCCAGCCAGGCCCCAGGACACAATGGGGCCGCAGGGCAGGCAGGACTCACCCGCATTAACCTCTAGAACCGTGCACCATGAACACCCTCGGTGGCCACGTCCTGTGCAGATAGAAACTGCGACGTCAAGCTCTCGCTTCTCACCGTGTCATCGTTGGTGACTAGAGAGCTGTTTCTAATGCATGTGGACTACACAGGTGGTTCCTGGCGGGGCTGGGTGGGCACACCGCTGCCTGGTATGTGTGCGCCCTCCTGGGGGGCAAATAAACCGCTTGTACTAAAATGTCTGGACTCAGTGTCTGACTTCCTTGGCTGTGGGGGAAGGAGGGGACTCACGGGTCCCTTCTGGCCGGGTTATGTGGCTGGAGGGCCTCAGAGCAGATTTCAGTGGCAATTTCAGTCTGAGGGTTGAAAGATGCGGCGACTGAGTGAACGTCATGGGGCCTCTCGTGTGGCCCCTTGCTACCCTTACACTCAGACCTCCTGTCTGCCCGCCGCTTTCTCCAGCGTCCCCCATAAAGGCCGTTGCTCTTACTGTTGCTGATAATGAGCATGTGTCGGACACCCGCCAGGCGTCACGGACTATCCCAAGTGTGTATGTTCATGGCTGACCAGACCTCACAATAACCCACTGGGTCACTCATTTTGCAAATAGGCCAACAGCGGCCCAGAGAGGGTAACTGGGAGCGAGGGCCAACCCAGAAGGCAAGCTGGGCGCCTCCGTGCAATGCTGTGGGCATGTCTGTTCGTGGAGATGTCCTTTTATACGCGTGAAACTTTAACATTCCACCAAAAATGGTTACAACTAGGAAATGAAACAGCAGAGTAGCTGCATACAAGGTGAACACAAAAACATCACTTGCATTTCAACAATGAACCTGAAAAGAAACTTGTTTTCATTCTCTTTACAATGGTACATGCACAAAACACTGGGAAGAAGGGAAAGGGGGTGGACGGCAGAGAACTGTGGACTGGCCGGGGGATGATGGGGGCCAGTGGCTGCTCCCAGCAAACAATCTCAGTGGCCAGCTCTCTGATTGGGCGGAGATCTGAGACAATGCAGTTTTTCTGAACTTGATTCCTGTGCATACTCCAAATTACATGACCTCAGGCTGGCTTCCCAGGGTAGACACATCTGCTCCCCCTCTCTGAGCCTCAGTTTTGGCATCTAGAATGTGGGCACAGCAACCCAGTGGCTGGCTCCTGTCAACACAGGTGCTCCAGGAAGCGGAGGCCCAGGCTGGACTCAGGGGTGGGAAGGCCTGGGAGGTCAGGGCCGGGATGTGGGGTACCCTGCATCCTCCTGTATCTGAGGGCTCGGCAAGGTGGCGAGGCATCGCTGAGCCTCAAAGCTTGCAATTCCCAGGGTGTCGGGGGCTGTGGTCCCTCGAAAAGCTCTCCGGGAGGGTCCTCGTCCTTCCTGCCTATTCACTTTCTGGGGGGCCCTGGCCGCATCCCTTCCATCTTCACGTGGCCCCTCTTGCTTCCTCTCAGTCCTCCCCAGACTGCTAGGCCTCATCGCCTGGCCCGCCCCCTGTTCGCCTGCCCCTCTTCAGGCCAATCACTGGGCCCCGCCCCCCCTTCACCTGCCCAGTGCTGGCATGATCACGTGGCCTGGCCCCCTTGGCAGCTGGCAGAGCCGCCCGGGAGCTGGGCTGAGTTGAGAGGGAAGTGGGCCTGCCAAGGGGTGATGGCTGTTTTGCCAGCGAACAGAGCGGCCTTCAGCAGTGGGCAGCAGGCAGCCTGAGGGAGGGTGGGGGTGGGGAGCCTGTGTAAGTCATTGCAATAAACGGAGGAAGGTGGCCACAGCTTGCCTTCCACCTTCCCTCTTCCCGCCTTTTGTACCTTCCCGGCACTTCCCCATCTGCAGAGTAATGTGGGTGCCGAGGGCTCAGCGTTGGTCTGGGGTGGGGTGAGGAGGGTGTCAGTGCCCCGTGAGGCAGTCTGCAGGCTCCACTGCGGAGCTGACCTGCTTCTGACTTCCGGATGCTTTGTCTGGCATCGGATTGGCCTCTGACGACACGAAACCACCTCCGTGGGGCTTTCAGATGCCCCTCCACCCAGCCCCCAGCACCCCCTGAGCACCCACCCCCAAGGGGCTCAGAGAAGCGGTGGAAGCTTAGGGCTTGTCTTTGGTTAGTGTGGTTGGGAAAGTGCCATCTCGTTGGGAATTGTGTTGCCCAGCCCAGTTCAAGGCAGGTGGTAGTGGAGAAGACATATGTGGAGAGGTGGGGAGCTGGGAAGGGAGGGAGCCGGACTGATGCACCCTCCATCCCCCAAATGCCTTTCTTCCACCACCACCCCTCACTTGCTCACGCCATGCTCCCTGCCCCCACTCTGGAATGCTCTCCTTCCCCCTGCAACTCACAACCATTGTTCAAACTCATGTTTTCTAGCCCCAAGTTTCATATGATCTCACTTCATTAGCTTTACCCCAAGAGAAATGTCATTGGATCCATTCATTCATTCATTCATTCAGTGGACCCTCAGAGCCTGCTTAGCCCCTCGTTCCAGCCGCTACTTTCCACTGTGGCCGGTTTGGGTCAGACTTAGGATTCTTCCACGATGTGGTAGGGGGGGCGGGGAGAGAGGGGGGTTGGCAGAAGAGGGGAGGCTGGGATTATAATTCCCACTAGGTGGATGAAGACACTGAACGACTGGGTGGTCAAAACCTGCCAGATCACAAGCAAATAAATAGCAGAGCGCGGCCTCCCCAGCCCGGGCTCAGGACTCGGGGCACTGCCAACACCTTGGCGTTTACTCCGGTCCTGCCCTGTGCGTGTTTGCAGACTCGGATCAGCGCCTTGGCAAGCCCTGCGCACGTTTCTGTCGCCGGTGTTTGCCTAACTTGTTATATTTCCCTCCTGACCCTGCAGACCTCCGGAACAGGGAGCCGGGAGCCGGTGCGCCTCCCATCGGTCGGAACGGGAAGGTCACGCGCTCCCGTTCGCCTCCGCGCGGCCCCGCGGCGCCAGCCCGGCCAGGGTTGACAGGCAACGGGTAAACTCCGCGGCTGGGAGCCGTTTGAGAGGCGCTGGAGCGGGCACCGCGACTGGGGCGCTTCCCCAGCTTCCCGGGGGCAGGAGGAGCGGACCCAGGGTAAGGGCGGGCGGGGGAGGACGTCCGCGGCCGTGGAGGAGAGTGGAGGGTGAAGGCGGGAGGCCCGCCCCCACCCAAGAGAGTAACTTCCGATCGGGCAAGGAATTCCTGGTGGGGGCGTCCCTCTGGGGTGGCCCTGCCGAGAGGCGGATGCCAGGAATAGCGCTCGTAGGGTGCCCGCTCCGTTGGTCCTCGCTGCCCTCAATACCTCCGAGTCGCAGGGCCCGGCAAGTTCTAAACGCCTTGCCTCCCGTACCCTCTACCCCCGGTCAGCTGGTCCTGAGACCATCTGCCTGCTGGGGGCGGGGGAGACCAAAGGGTTTACAGCTGAATGGAGGGGACATAGAGCCTGGGCTGGGGTGGCAGGAGGCTGGGCAGGCGCAGAGGAGAGCTTGCGATGAGAATGGAGGGGAGGGAAGTACACTGACTGGGCGCCTATGGGTGGCAGGTGCTGTAAATGCACCACCTCAGCTATTCACGGCTTTAGAGCCGGGTCCTGGCTCCGTCTGTCTGGAGTTAAGTACCGTGACCTTTGACCAGGTAGTTAACCTCTCCCGGCGTCAGTTTCTTCACCTGTAGAATGAGAATTGTGGTAACCGTTTGCCCGGCTGTGCTGGGGGTTCACAGCGCCTGGGACCCAGTGGGTCTTTATAGATTCGGGACCCGAGCCCTTGACCGGGTATGTGATCTGCAAGTGCTTTCTTCAAGTCTGTGTCTTGTCTTCCTGCTGTCTTTTGAAGGGCAAAAGTTTTCATTCCTAACGAAGTCCAAGTTATTGTTTTTTTCTTTTATGGACCATGCTTTTGATGCTGTATTTAAGAAATCTTATCCCAAAAAAGCTCATCTTAATCAGGGTCACGGTGACTTCCCTCTCTGGTCTCCCCTGTAGTGATAGAGCTTCTGCTCTCTCGTTTTGGCCTGTGATCGCTTCTGAGTTCATGGTGAGTGTGGTGTGAGGTAGGGGTCTGTGCTCCTTCTTTTGCAGGTCAAGGTCCAGTTATCCAGGCACCATTTCGTGCTCTGCCAGCTTGTGAGGTGCGCTGGTAATTTTACCAAAAGTCAGTTGACCGTAAATAGAAAGGTTTTTATTTCTGAGTTCTCAATTTCACTCCATTGATACATATATGTCTGTCCTTATGCTAGTACAACGCTGTCTTGATTAGTCAGAGTTTCAACAATGTTCGCTGAATAAGTGAAATAATGAAACTATAATCAAAACAAGTAGAAAGCATACAGTTGGCACTCATAAAACCTGCAAATTCCTAGGAAAATCTAGATAATTAGATTTAAAAAAAAAAAAGACTCATTTTGGGTGCCCCAGAAAGCATTTGTGGGCACAAACTCTGGTACAAAGTTGCTTGGGAAAGTGAATTACTACTGTTGCATTTCTGTTGCATTTTTTCCCCATCTGTTTCTTAAGTTTAAATATTTGTCTATAGGTTTTTACTTAAATCAAGGGCCATGTCCCCCAAGCATTTTTCTAACAGGTCCCCTTATCATTCAAAGATTAGCAACACCTGCTCACAGGTGAGACCCTAAGCTCCTGGGAGTTGCAAGGCCTTCGGAGGTGAGTCCTACCACGGCGAGGCTCTTGTGAAGTTAACCTTCCCCCACGCTACCCCATCTGGCAGTGTGCTGCCTGGGTGTCCACACAGGCCCAGCAGCCTCACAGACCCACAGCCGGAGGGACACACTTCCTGAGAGTTAGGAGTGGCCAGCAGGTGGCAGCTCTGCTCAGCTCCATAGCTGACAGGCCCCATCAGATGACCAGCCATTTAGGCCACTGAGGAGCATCCAGACCCCACAGTCTGTTGCTGTGACAGGGGTCAGAGGGGTCCAGGTCTCTTTTGGGGGTGAGTGAAGAGCGATCTGTGGACCTGCCCACTGCATTTCTGAGACTTCCACTTAGTGCCAGTGAGAAAACACTTCCTTGCGTTGCGTTGGAGCGCTGTGCTTCCCACCCTCCCAAAGTGTCTGGCCTCAGAATGACCAAGGTCAAGCAGCTGGTGAGTGTCCAGGCCAGAACTTGAAGTCCGAACCCAGCCCAATCCTTCTTTCCAGTTCCACACGGTGCTGTGAGTGTCCCACGTCCCACGTGGTTCAGGGTTCGGGATCTGGAGAAGGGGCCGCACGCAAATGAAAGAGATGAGACAAGAAATAATAATTTGGAAATATTGGGGGCCAGGCGGGCAAGCCCAATGCAAGAGAAAGGACTTCCACTGGTGCCCAGGCCTCGCCAACCTTTTATTCAATTTTGGATACACATCTAGTTCTTAGGCAGGTAATTGTGGTAACAAACAGACTATCTTAAAGGTCAGTAAATATTAGAAAGATTTACCCTGAGACTATTTGGTCAGGAAATAGCTTGAGCCCCCATTGTCTGGACTAAACAATCGGTGCATAGCTCTGGCCCTTGCCAGGGCTCAAGGTTCACCAGCCTTCAGAGATCCTTGTTTACACGTCTCTGACAGTGAAGACAATGGGTGGCTTCCTGCCCTGTGCCTTTCAAGGAACAAATCAGAGAGGTTCTCAAAGGCCTAACGATTCTGCCTGCTGAGGGCCAGGCTTCTGGTCTCCTCAGGTGGACTCCCAGCCCTGTCCTGGGGCAGGTGACGTGGAGGGAGGAGTTTCCAGTGGGGTCCCCCAGGGAGTCCCAGAACCTAGAACTCTGGAGTGGGCGAGCCTTTGGACAACTGGGTGGTTGAGGCCTCGACTCTCAAATCAGTGAGGCCCATGGGGACAGGAAGCAGCCAGGCGGGGGCCCTCACCAAACACCACCCCCCACCCCCGCCCCTGCAGCTGCCGGCACCATGGAGATCGTGTACGTGTACGTCAAGAAGCGAAGCGAGTTCGGGAAGCAGTGCAACTTCTCGGACCGCCAGGCAGAGCTGCACATCGACATCCCGCCCAACCCCGAGCTGGCGGAGCAGTTCATGGAGCGGAACCCCGTGGACACGGGCATCCAGTGCTCCACCAGCATGTCGGAGCACGAGGTGGGTGTGTGTCTAGGTAACTCCCTCCACCTGGAAGCCAGTTGGGGTGGCCCCATGCAGATGCCGGGAGTGTGAGGCAGGATGACACAGAGCCCCCCCATGATGCTCAGGGCCCGGCAGAGGGAGGGGAGACCCGGCATTGAGCAGCCCCAGGGCCAAGGGCATGTCAATCAAGACATTCTCTCTCCCAGTGGCTCTGGCCTCATCTCTCAAATTCTTTCTAGAATCCTTTTAGGCATTTGGGACAGGGGGCGAGGTATTCTGCGGGGGCAGAGTATTACATCCACAGGCAACTGCCCAGCTGTGAAAACTCAGGGTTGCACCCTACCTGGTTTGGCTTAGTGGATAGAGCATCAGCCTGCGGACCCAAGGGTCCTAGGTTCAATCCCAGTCAAGGGCATGTACCTCAGTTGCAGGCTTGATCCCTGGCCCTGGTCCGGGGCCAATACGGGAGGCAACCAACCCATGTGTCTCTCACATCGATGTTTCTCTCTCTAGGTCTCTCCCCCTGTCTTCCATTCTTCAGGATTGCCCTAGAACAGTGACGGCGAACCTTTTGAGCTCGGCGTGTCAGCATTTTAAAAAAAACCCTAACTTAACTCTGGTGCCGTGTCACATATAGAAATTTTTTGATACGTATTTGCAACCATAGTAAGACAAAGATTTATATTTTTGATATTTATTTTATATATTTAAATGCCATTTAACAAAGAAAAATCAACCAAAAAAAAATGAGTTCGCGTGTCATAGGTTCACCATCACTGCCCTAGAAAGTTCTGGGGAGAGGGGCTCTGAGATCAGAGAACGAGGTCATGGTGCTGTGCAGACGCCCAGCCAGCCCCCCGCCTGTCTGAGCCAGGTGGTCAGCTCCTGATCGCGTCGGGAACTGCTGTGAGGAAACCAGACGGACGGAGATAACCCACGTATCACGTCCCAAATCAACTGATGGACGTCACATTTGATTTCATCAAAACACATGGCGGTGGTTCTGGTAACTCACAGCTCAGAGGAACGCCGTTGCTCGAGTTCCCGGGGCGAGTGGCTGTCACGGGGCCAGGGCAGCTGTGTCCGTGTTATAGAGATGCTGCCCTCGCACCACGATAGGGCCTCTGTCAGCAGCTGTGCCCGGAAGACTTGTAACTCTAGGGAGCGCTTCAAAACGCCAAGGAGCGGGCCAGCGCGGCTCAGTGAACCCAGAGGTCACGGGTTCGATTCCCGATCTCGGCACATGCCTGGGCCGAGATCCATCCCCAGGAGAGGGTGTGCAGGAGGCAGCCGATCAATGTTTCTCTCTCTCCCTCTCCCTCCCTCTCTCTCGCTAATCAATAAAAACATATTTTTTTAAAAAATGCAACGGAGAAGCAAGTGACTGATGAATGAGAACAGGGTTTCCACTGGGGGTGATGCAAAATCCTGGAACTAGCTGAAACCAGTTTGGCTCAGTGGATAGAGCGTCGGCCTGTGGACTGAAGGGTCCCAGGTTCAATTCTGGTCAAGGGCATGTACCTTGGTTGTGGGCACATCCCCAGTAGGAGATGTGCAGGAGGCAGCTGATCGATGTTTCTCTCTCATCGATGTTTCTAACTCTCTATCCCTCTCCCTTCCTCTCTGTAAAAAAAAAAATCAATAAAATATATTTTTTTTAAATCCTGGAACTAGATGGTGGTGGTGGTGGCACAGCCCTCGCATGGCCTAACGTCACTGACTTGTGCATGTTACCGTTTAAAGTGGTAAAATTCATGTTATGTGTCATTTACCACAATTTTAAAAAACGGGGGAAGATGGGACGGTGGCACACTGCTAAGTTTAAAGGGCAAAGCTACCTCCATCCCTCCTCCCTGCCACAGGGAATGGGCAGAGCCAACCCAACCGCTTCCCTGGTTCCCGCGGCACTGCACAGGGAGGGCAGAGGCGGCGGGCGCCTCTCTCCTTTGGGCTCTAACGGAGCAGATGGGTGCGACTCAGGAGTGGATTTTCCTGGGCCTCTGGCATCAGCTGCAAAGATGCTAGCTCCACACAAGGGCCCTTCCGTGGCTGCCTGCGACCCCCTGAGGACCAGAGGCACCTTCCTGGTACCGGAAAACCTCTTGGCTTTGGCCACACACCCCCTCGGTCCATCCTGAGCGCTCGGGGCTCGGGGCCCTGGTGCGTGGAAGCGGCTAAATGCTCGCACCAGGGCCGGGGGTTCTCACCTGGGGCTCTCTCTTCAGGCCAACACAGAGCGATTCGAGATGGAGACGCGGGGTGTCAACCACGTGGAGGGGGGTTGGCCCAAGGACGTGAACCCCCTGGAGCTGGAGCAGACCATCCGCTTCCGGAAGAAGGTGGAGAAAGACGAGAACTACATCAACACCATCATGCAGCTGGGCTTGGTAAGGCTTCCTTCAGCCCCAGCGGTCCGGTTCCCCAACTGCATGTCAAGCCTAGATGTGCCTGGCCCTGTGCTCGGCTCCCGTGGCGACTCAGGGGAAGACCGGTTAGGAGCCTTCTATCTGGGAGCAGGCACACCCACCACAGCAGACCGGAGGGGAAGGCCGGGAGGTGCAGGGCCGAACAGGCTCTGGGAGGAGTCTGAAAAGTGGCCCCCGTGGGCAAAGAGAACCCCAAAGAACCCCACCCACCAGCTTCCCGCCACTAGGGAACATCCTTTCACTCAGCGCATTTGGACCATGCTTCTGGTCTCCGCCAGGCACGGTAGAGACTGCAGAAATGAATTCCACATGCATCCTGCTCCAAAGAGTGTATAATCCAACAGAGGGCAGAGACAAATACAGAGATAGCACCACACCACGTAGAAATAAATGATGTTAGAGGATGGATGACTTGCCATTTTGCCCCATTAGGAGAGAGAGTCCATTCCCGGCTGAAGGGATCACGGAAGGCTTCCTGGAAGAGGTGGCACTTGAGCATGGGCTTTTCCATGATGGACGTTTAGAATAAAGGGGAGGGCTTTCGGGGTGAAGGAGCTGGAGATGGGTGCTATATGTGGAGTCATGGAGACTTCTGTTTGCCGGGAGCAGTGTGTGTGTTGCCATTTTTTTTTCACTTTTGTCCCCAAGGAGTCTTTTTAGATATTCTCTTCCTAATTGCCTCCCCCCATGAAATGTCGATGCCATCGGTATGCCGTACATCTGTTTATGTACTGCATGTCCACCTGCGCTTTGTATGGGAAAAGTAGTAGTATTTACCGCTCAGAACCAGTTTTCGCCCTGTTGGGGCGACGCTGCCTCATTGAGAATGCACGGGCTGAGGGTGGGATAGGACCACTAGCTATTTCTCAGCCCCCCCAGACCTCATCTCAGCCCGTCAGACAGCAGGGCCCCCCATTCCCGATGAGAACTCCGGGTGTGCCCCCCTCAGATCATGGAGCACTGCGTGAAGCAGAACAACGCCATCGACATCTACCAGGAGTATTTCGATGACGAGGACGCGGTGGAAGTGACGGAAGAGGCCCCTTCCGCTAAGACCATCAATGTTTTCAGGTATTTTTTTAAATTGATTTCAGAGAGGAAGGGAAAGGGAGAGAGAGAGAGAGAAACATCAATGATGAGAGAGAATCATTGATTGGCTGCCTCCTGCATGCCCCCTACTGGGGATTGAGCCCGCAACCCGGACATGTGCCCTGACCGGGAATCGAACCACGACCTCCTGGTTCATAGGTTGACACGCAACCACTGAACCTTGCCGGCTGGGCTTCGGGTGTTTCTATAGTTAGGCAGGTGCTGCAATCCCGGTCGCCTCTGTGGGCGGGTGTTCCTCCTGTGACCATAGGGCATGTTTCCAAGATTCAACACCTGAGACCAAAACGAGGTGCAGAGCGGCGTGCAGAGAGCACCGCTTCATTTGAAACACTCCTGGGTGTCTGTGCCTGCGTCCATGGGCACATGTATGTGTGTGTATGTGTGTGTATGTGCTTGAATATGCAGGGAATACCGGGGATTTGGGAAGTGTCTAGCCGCAAAGGCCAACCCTGGGAGATTCATTTTCCACCAGAACCCCCGGAGGGGTCTGACCTCGGCGGAATGACGCATTTCAAATCATCCCACCCAACCCCCCAGCTGAGGAAACGGACCCCAGGGAGGGGGATGTGCTCAGAGCGCACGGCGGGTGGGGACCCAGCCAAGGCTGGAACCCTGGCCTCCTGACTCCCGGCCCAAGCTCCTTCCCCTACAGTAGTGCTCCCAGGGAGGAGGGACGGGGGTGAAGCACACACTGAGACGCTGTTTGTCCATTCCTTCCGTATTCTTCCAGGAAACAGTCCCAGTTTGGGGCCATTGTCTGTAATACTTAACTCTTTCTCATGCTCCCTCCCCCCTTGCTCTTTAAATGAAGATCTTTTTATTTATTTTTTATTTTTAGAGCAATTTTAAGTTCAAAGCAAAATTGATCAGAAAGAACAGGACACGTCATCACCACCCTGTCTGAATCTGTCCCAGGCTGCGGTAGCCAAAGACCATAAAAAAATCATTAAAAAACGAGGCAGCTTAGGAACTACTGAAGTCTATTTGTCACCATTCTGGAGGCCGGGCGTTCTGAGATGTTTGGGTTCTGTGTCTGGTGAGGACCCACTTCCTAACTCACGGACATCCACCTCCTCACTCTGGGGTGAGGCTGCTCCCTGGAGCCCCATTTAAAAGGGCACTAATCCCATCATGAGAGCCCCACCCTCCTGACCTAATCACCCCTCAAGGCCCCCCCTTAATACCATCACATTGGAGATTAGGTCTCAGCAGATGAATCTGGGGCGAGGCCGGGGCCACCACACAAACCTTCAGCCTATAGTACACCCCAGGTCCGTAGTTTACAAATCACTCTGAGTTGTCCATTCCATGAGTTTTGACACAATTATACACATACGCCCCTAGTGTGGAGCGTGCAGGAGGCAGCCGATCTATGATTCTCTCTCATCACTGATGTTTCTATCTCTCACTCAGTAAAGCTGCTGGAAACATCCATGTGCAGGTTTTGTGGGGACACAGGTTTTGGACTAATTTGGGCAAATACCAGAGGGCACGATCGCTGACTTCTCCATGCCCCCTTTTATTTTAACATTGACGGGCAATCAAGCCTCAGGCTCAGAACCTGCAGCAAGTGAGAAAGGCGGACGGGGATTTAAAACTTTGTTTCCGTTGCTTTAATTTTTATTTTTAGCTTTTATTTACGGCTGGTGGGACTGGTGTTTTGATTAAGGGAGTCCTATAAATTTTGTTTTAAATAAATTTCTCTGAGTGGATGCTTATGCTTCAACACGTTTGAATATTTTAAAGAAAATTTTTAGTTAATAAGACATTTGGGGAGCCTGGCACCCCAGCTTTCTGCCCTTTGCTGCCCCCTAAAGGGACCCCCAGGAGATCAAGCGGTCGGCCACACACCTGTCCTGGCACCCGGACGGCAACAGGAAGCTGGCGGTGGCGTATTCTTGCTTGAATTTTCAACGGGCACCTGAGGGCATGAGCCATGACTCGTACATCTGGGACCTGGGTGAGGGGCGGACTGGCAGCGGCCGGGACTCTCGCAGGGAGGGACCGGGACAGGAGGTCCCGGTCTGGGGTTCAGGCTCAGCCTGGCAGTCACACCCGGGAGCAGGAGACGTGCTTTATTTCCAGATCTGTAATCAGGGCATTCAAGACCAGACCCCACAAAGTCCCGATTGTGGGCCCCCCGAGAGCGGGGCAGATAGAATCCCAGGAGGAGGGCCCAGGAGAAGGGCCCAGGCAGGGGTGGGGGGCAGGGAGCTCCCCTCTGCCCAGCTCTCCGGGTGCTTGTGCCAAACGCCCGGCCAGCGGGGGCAGCGTGTGCCCCGGGGAGCACTCCAAGGGCAGAGCTGGCAGGTGGGCATCGGCTCTCAGACCCCTCGTTGCCATCACTGTGAGAACAAGCGTGGGCTGTGGTTAGTGGGGCAGGTGCCGAGCATGGACGGGAGCACACTACCCTCTGGAGCAGCGCAGCGTGCTGTGGGGTGGGCCCCATGGTCCCCAGAATACAGACCAGGAAACTGCAGAAGCCAGGGGGGCGTGGGCTTCCGTAAAAACCGTAGGGTAAACCTTCGTTCCATTCCAAACCTGGGAAATGGACTCAAATTACAGTCACAGACACACAGTTCTAATGCCCCCAAACAAAGCCAGATATTCGCCACCAATCCTCCCCCCCCCCGCCCCCCGGGTGGGCCCCATGGTCCCCAGAATACAGACCAGGAAACTGCAGAAGCCAGGGGGGCGTGGGCTTCCGTAAAAACCGTAGGGTAAACCTTCGTTCCATTCCAAACCTGGGAAATGGACTCAAATTACAGTCACAGACACACAGTTCTAATGCCCCCAAACAAAGCCAGATATTTCGCCCCCCACCTCCCCCCCCCCCGCCCCCCTGCCCAGGCCCAGAGGGTGCAGCTGGAGAAAGGCTCGGGCACCCCTCCTGTAGAGGGGGTTGAACTGTTTGTCTCTGTCCTTTCCTTCCCAAGCCTGGTGGGATACGCGCGCGCGCACATACACACACACACACACACACACATCTATAATAATAAAAGTGTAATATGCTAATTAGACCGGACAACCTTCTGTACGAAGCCAGGGCTGGGAGGAGCCGTCCTCGCCTCTCGTCACCTTGGAGTACAACCCCAAGGACTCGCACGTGCTGCTGGGAGGCTGCTACAACGGGCAGATCGGTAAGGGGGGTCCCAGCGCTTAACCAACCGTCACCTGGATGGAAAGGCCTTTTGCACTGGACAAGCTCTGAGTCAAGTCCTTATGGGCAGCCTTGCCAGGGGGACTCGGGGAGCCCCCAGCCAGTTCTTCAGACAGAGACCCACGGAGCTCCATCCCCACTCGGTGGCCCCCGGGGCTGCCAGGCGACCAGTTCCACTGGGAGAGGGGGTGCTGCCTCTCAGGGCTCCCCGGGATGGGGAGAGCAGGCCGTGAGCAGGGCGAGTTCCGATGTAACAAGACCCCTGTTCTCGCAGGAGCGAGCGGTGTTAGAGTCCGCGCTCTGAGGGCTGCAGCCTCCGCCCGGCGTTCGGAGTTCTGACAATGCGGAGTGACAGTTCTGCTAGTGCTCTCATTGCTTGTGGGGAGGGAGGGCCATAGAGGAGGTCCATCCTCAGAGGTCCTTGCTGATCGCACGCCCAGAAAATGATTCTTTTTAAAAAGATGTTTTTATTGCTTTCAGAGTGAGGAAGGGAGAGGAGGAGGGATAGAAACATCGATGAGAGAGAATCAGACAGCGGCTGCCTCCTGCCCACCCCCGACTGGGGATCGAGCCCGCAACCCAGGCATGTGCCCTGACCAGGAATTGAACCTTGACCTCCTGGTTCATAGGTCGATGCTCAACCACTGAGCCACACCAGCCGGGGGAAACTGACTCTTTTGGTTACTAATGAGATCGGACAAAACCTGCCCACATGGGCTCTGAAGGTCCCTGCCCGCCCTCCACCTCAGGCCCTGGGGCAGCCTGTCTGTACCCCAGGCCAGACTCCCCGAGCAGGGAAAGGGTTCCCCACCCTCCTACCTTCACAGGCTCCACCCTCCCTTCTTCCTCCAGGAGCAGGAGCCAGACCGGCTGGGGAAGTTCTCAGAAACGCGCTGAGGCCAGGCTGCCCCTTGGCGCTCTGAGTCCCCGGGTCTCCCTCTCAGACCTGTGGCCTCCTTCCCGGGGGAGCCGCCGGGTTAGGGAGCAGACGTGGCTCCCATGGGTCTCCCGGCCCCATCGCCTGGGGCCAGGCTCCAGCAGACGAAGCAGAGCTGCTCCGCCATGTTTCCTTCAGGAGCCCTGCCTCACTCATTCTTCATCACCCCTCTCGGTGCCACTCCCCCAGCCCAGGCCCTGGGCCCTGCTGCCCAGTAGGGACCGCCACTGCGGGACCTCCCCTGCCCTCTGTCTTACCCCCTCTTCCCCGCCCCCCTCACCATGAGCGCTGCTTCCCCCCAGCAGGGCAAGCTTGGCCGGTGCACAGTGCAGGGCAAATGCTTTAGACGTGGACTCCGTCAGTCAGCACTTCAGTGTCAAGGACTTGGGTTGTTTGTTTTACAAAGTCAGCTTTCCTAGAAATGGCAAGCGCGGGGCGGGAGGTGGTGGTGCAGGGGGTCCTCGCTGCTCATTGTGGGAAAATGGAAACAGAATCGATTAGGACAAAAAGTAGATAAGCTTCGGGTCCTTCTCGGTAAAGCAGAAGTGAAGCACTAATGGGTGGGAGGGAAGGGCGAAGCTCCCTCTGGGAATTGTTTCCATCAGAGGCAGCAACGGCCGGAGGATGAAGGGGAAGGAGCTTAGGCAGCAGGAGAGGCTCACCTGCGTGCTCCTACCCCGGGCCTGTCCCTCGGTGCGGGCCTCCTCTCTCCCTGCCAGGTCACTCCATTCCAGGCTCATCCTCAGTCTCACGTCCCTCTCTCCTCCTCCAGGAAGCCCTCCGTGACTACCCCTGTGGGCCCCCCACCAGAGAAATCACATCCCGGGCTGTGTTTGCAGGTCCCCTTCCTGCCTCTCGGGGACAGTGTCTGTCCTTTTCTCTGCGGCCTCCCCAGGGCCCCGGGGGCAGGGCGGGGGGTGCTCAGCACGCGGCAGAATGACTGAATGAAGCGTGCAGCCTGGGAGTCACTCCTCAGAGATTGTGTGGGGGCTTCAGGGGTGGCCGGAAACTCAGGCTAGTGGGAACCCAGCGCTGATTCTAAGAAACCACGTCCCTGCCAAACCAAGAGGAGCAGCACCCCTGCCCCTGCTCCCCCACAGGAAAGGAAGCCCGCGCCCTGTTCACCTGCCCCTCCTTTTCCTCCCGCCAGCCTGCTGGGACACCCGGAAGGGCAGCCTGGTGGCCGAGCTGTCCACCATTGAGTTCAGCCACCGAGACCCCGTGTACGGCACCATCTGGCTGCAGTCGAAGACGGGCACTGAGTGTTTCTCGGCATCCACAGATGGGCAGGTACCCACAGGCGGGCAGGCGCCCACAGGCATGCAGGTACCCACAGACGGGCAGGTACCCACAGGCGGGCAGGCGTCCACAGATGGGCAGGCACCCACAGCCGGGCAGGCGCCCACAGCCGGGCAGGCGCCCACAG